TTTACATCTTATTTGCTTTAATTTGCAAGTGCATAGTATTTTGTTATGGGTTGGCACTGGTGATCGAATTTAATGATTCAATGTTTTCGATGCTTAATTGTCAAAATCAAGAAATTGGCGAAACTTAGATGCGACATACAAGAATTAAGGTTATCCGTCGATGTTCATAGGTGTTTCTCCATGAAAGTTCCATTAAATATTTCACATTTCTTCATTATAGAGTAAATGTAAGTGAACTTTTCGAAAAATTTCATTATTTTATTCAAATCTCAGTTTTCATTCGAACTTTTGATAAACTTTTAAACTTTTTTAAATAACTGTGTCATTTAATTAAATTTGATTTCTAAATTTATTTTCTTTTTCTTTATTTTTCTTTTTCTTTAAGTAATTCTTTTGGGCGAAAGCAATTCCATTTTTAATTGAAAATCATTTTTAAGGCAAAAATAATGATTTTTTCTTTATTTTTTGCTTCGATTTTTTATTGATATTTTTTTCTAACTCTCAATATTATTGGTCAGACTGGCTGCACTGGTAAGACGTTTCGAAACTGTTCGATCCGATGCCGTCGTTGACACCAGTGGAAACCATTTCTTTTTCCATCGTCTAAGTATCGCTGGTCCACTTATACGTTGAAAATCTTTCCTGGCTACGTCAATTAAGTCTTGCTTTTGACTCCGTCCATCATAGGGTTTAGCAAGTAACGAAATATCAATTCCTATGGTGAGCAACAAAGAATGTGCCCTAACTCTGTGAAAGTACTGTTAATGCAGTGAGGAAAGGTGGACATGTGATGTGATGATATTTTATCCGCTCGATAAACCACTTAAAACTTAATCTAGATGTGAATATCGTGAAAAGTTTTGTTAATTCAGAAAGAGAAAACTTTTGAAAGGAGTGACTTAAGTACTTATCGACGGTTTCACGAATTGTATTTAGGATTTACAGCTAACTATAGCAATAGGTTTTATTGCTGCCTAGATACCATTATAATAGAACGACATGCGAAATAATATGAAGATATTAATATAGCGAATTGAAAAATAGAAAGAAGGACATGAAACTAACTCGCAAATAACGTGGTTTTACAGAAAAAAGATTTATGGCACTACGAATTTTCGTTGGGAGCACGGCGATTCCCCTTCCAATATTCTACCTTTACAAAAATTCCTTTTGGGAATCCGCTCCACTATCTTTTTTCTGTATAGATTTAGCTTTCCTGCCACACGAGACTTTTATTTCTTATTATATAAAACTCTGTGGCCAACGTTATACTCCTTACTTTTCTCGTTGCGAACCTCAAACTTGGGTAATTAAGCCTTTATTTGTAAAGATACGCAGATACGCAAATATACAAGAAAATAAAACGAAGTAATTGCCCGACTACAATGAAATAATGCAGTAAAAAAATCAAATATAAAATCTAAATGCCCATCACTTACCGACCGCTTCCCCACTCGTTTTCCCCTAATAAAAGCACAAAATGACCAAAATTGATCCTTTGGGAGCTTATATTTAATTTAAGATGGGCGGGGATGTGGATGACTTGCTCAAATTTACAGCTTTTTTCGCCTTTCTGCGACAGTGGTGTCAAAACTGATCCCAGGAATAACGCAAACGATGAACACTTACTCGACAATGACTCAAAAGATGAAAAACTGACCCTTGGTATCATTCCTTATCGTTTAAATTAGGAATATATGAAGGAATTTTTTTTCAAAATCAGGCGTAAAGATTTTTAAGATCTTTAAATTGACAGTATTCTCACAGCTAAAGGGAAATTTAGATACAAACCGGATGTACCGGATTTCTTATGATTGTATTCAAGATTTGTACATAAGATTTGCACAAGATTTGTTACAAATTAGTTACAAGATGTACCGAATTGGAAGATTAGATAGCTGACTCATGATTTTACACTTGGGAAAACGCTTATTATTTCGGTATTTCCGACAGTAAGTGGTCAAAGGTAGATAAGTTTTCAATATCTTCCACTCTCATTGGCCCTATCTCTTAGCCATATAGCGAACTTTCATAAACGTGAACTTTCGTTTTAATGGTGATTTCGTTACGGCTCCATAAAGATTTTGCCAACCGGAAAGAATCATTTCTAGCCATCGTTGTCCGAGTATCAAGGTTGTAATCACGCTTGCTTGTTAATTAGAGTAGGTCCTGATACTGATGGCCGTTCAACCGAGGATGAACTAATGAAAATAGGTATTTCATTAGCTTTTTTTAAAATAAGGCGAAAAGATTTTCGTTTAATTTTCATTGACCAGGAGTCCGATTTTCGCTGCAGTTTTCGACACATTGTTTACCATTATTTGCATTTCGTCGTAAAAAGGATTAACAAAACGGAATACATCATCAGCATATCAAAGTCTATGGTACTATGGTCTGGACTGATTTGCACACCTGATAAGCGATGTTCATTATCCATTCTATCACTCATTTGAATATTGTAGGGGAAGCGAAAATGCATGCTGCTATCTGCTACTACCATATTCAATAGAAAATAGGGAAAATTTTCCCGGAGATGTCTAGTAATGTTCGATAATTGTCACTTTTCTTGAGAATTGAAGCAAAACTGCTTTGCTTCCATCATTTGGTATTATTTCCTTCTTTCATACCAGAAGAACATTTGTTGAAGGTATAATATGAAGGAAGATAGACAAAATTTGAAGAATTCGGCCATCTTCTCTGGGAGTTTTATTGATCTTAAAATTTTGGATGGCAGAGGTTATCTCTTATTCTGCTGACGGCCCGCAACTGCAAAAAATATGGTTGGACTGTTCAGCTACGTCCGGGATAATAGATAGCGCATCGTGGTTGAATATGGCTTTAAAGAATCCATCCATCTTGCAAGGGCGATCCTTTATAGCTTTAATAGCTTTAACAGGCACTATCCCTTATCATTTCATTCACTCCCCTTATTCGAACAGCCACCCTCATTTTTAAATTTAAACCGCTCCAATAAATGTTCAGCCGTGGTGCTGTTATTATGTTTCTTCAAAACATTCTATAGCTAAGACATTCATGTTTAGTTGGACTTTTGGGCAGTTATGGAATTGCTTCTAATACCCAACTAGCGCATTTCCTATATATTCTAGTGGCTAATTTTCAGAGACATGTTATTAGTCGAGATAAGTATTCATGTCATTTTAGAGATGTCTTTGATGATCACGTAGATGCCTCAATAATTCAGTTTGAAATGTGTTTATTGCCCACGAATCTTTTTGTCTAAGATAGTTGAAAGATCTTTAGAGATTTTTCTTGCGAGTTGTCAGTTTTATGCGAATCTTGGCTCGAACCATGGTGGTCTGACCCAGCGCAGAGATAGGAACGACTATTTAATAGGGACTCTTCCAACGGCGACTGATTAGGATATGATTAATCGAACAATAGATGTCTTCTTCGATGTCGGATGCATAGTAAAATTCATGCTTTTCGGCAAATCGAAAAAGGCGTTCTCCATTGGCGCACTAGATGCCATATTTGCCAGTCACCGAGTTGACATTGTATTCGCGTTCCAGTGTTCCTGGCCATTTTGGTAGAAACATTAGTATTTGGAGTTCCGCATAGAACCATATCCTATCCTTGTCACGGTCATTTCCATATATGACTGAAATATTGCGGGTAAAAACTTTCCTTTGAAGCGGACATAGACCCTATAGTCCTTTATCGGTTCCACAATCAAAGCAAATCGATCTTTTTCAGATATTGCCATTTTACCTCGATTTATCCGAAATATTGCACTGTTATAGCCGGTATTTCTGCTTAGAGCCAGGTTTAATAATTGCATTAAACCTGAAATGAGGAAAATGGATTTCGACAAGCAGGCGACATCCACACGAGATTTGAAAGAATGTGGACAATAATCGCTTGGGTTCCATAAGCATTCTGACATTCCATGCCTCTAGGATTAACACCTCACCACGCATACAGGAGCCTGACAGTTTCTCGTTTTCCTTGACATAATTTGATCCTGACTCGAGAGCATATCTTATTCCTTGGGTTTTACTATATCTGAATTACTTATACACTTATCGCATGTGCCACCGAACTGGGAGTATTAGGCCTTGTACGCCCTTATTGTTTTTTGCTTAATCATCAGTCTGATATTTTCTCTATCGTTGCAACGAAAAACTTTGATGATAGTAATTTTTTGACTTAAAATAAGCTTTAGAAAGATTCAAAAAACTTAAATATTTTTCTTTCAGGTTGTTTCGATTTGAAGATTTAATATTTATAAAACATTTTTTCTTTTAGTAAGGTAATTTATTTTAACTGAAAATAAATTAAAATAGTATGAAATCTCTGTGCTCTTTTGAAAACTGCATATGAACTAACTCTGAGTATTAAAATTTTTGTTGGTCAAGCTTATTCAAACTTAACGATTGCCAAGAATTTTTTATTTGATCATTGAATTTTTAAAATAAAAATATTTCTTTTCGGAATTAAATGAAAATTATACCTAGGTGACCAATTTTTTAATCAGTTAATTAATTTTAATTGATTAAATAAAACAAAATGATCAATTCAGTTTGGAATTAACGAGCAATCAATTTCCTTTCCTGTTTCATAATTTTGCTTAATAAAAAAAAAATTGAAATATATATAATTTAATTTTTCAATATTAAAATATAAAAATACAACTGAATAATGATTAAATAAAGAATAATAAGTAATTTATATTAAATTATTTTAACGCCTGAGTCAGTCAGCTGAAAAGGAGAAATCATTCCAATTAAGTTATAAATGAGAAACAAATAGAATAATGAATATTTCTGAAAAATCACCTATCAGCAAGCATCAACATACGGATTTTAAAAAGATGAAAATCGATGGTGGTAAGAGCTATGAGCTTTTTGCTGAAGTCTGACACTAAGATCGATGTGAGCAATATTTTAGAAGCATGAAGTCTCATAAAATTTCTTTGGACTTTCTTTTTTGAATTCCATTCAGGCATTCAGCTCCGAAATTTTTGCCAAAATATAAATGTTTCAACATGCTATTGAAATACTTTCCTTGTCATTCTCCAACTTGAAACATCGGTTATACTTTAAACATTTTCCCAAAAGTTGACGATATTTTTCGCTAAAAATGCAAAATATGCAAATATTTATCGAAGCGTTAGTCATAACAAGCATATTTGACCATGGAACTGTTGTACTATACAATTCAAGTAGATCCAGTTTTTCAAATAGATTTACAGCGAAAGCCTGAAAACGTTAATCTGATTTAATATTTCTAAAATCAAATTAATAGATAGCCGAATAATTTATTGCAGATTATGCGTTATAGTTCGTTTATCTACTAACTGATTCCACAGTATATACTATAAAATATTTGAGCGTGTTTTAATTAAATTTATTTTTATTTATTGAATTATTTTAGTGAATGTTCGGTTCAATTTAAATATTTCTCTTCAGTGGTAAGCTAAATTGACGTTTCAATTATAATTTTAACATAATCATTAATCATCATTAAGAATCATTTATTTATGAAAGCCACTAAATATGCTTGAAACTGCATACGGGAGTATTGCACAGAAGAAATGCAACAACAATAGCGACAAGCATGATTGAAGTAGAAATTTCTTTAGCGAATTCTTGCTTTCGAAGTTCATCGTCATAGATATTGAATTCGGCATGTATTCGCCTTGACCTAAATGAATTTAGATTTCAAAATTTTAAAAAAATTCAATTTTCAAAATTTGGAAAAATATATCTTCCATTCTAAATTAATTTTATGCCAATTAACATCATTAAGTTCTATTCAACCACACCAAAAACAAACGCCATTTTTTATTGAAATTGTTTGAAATTGTTTAAATTTATGTAATTTCATTAAGAATAAAAAAGGCAAAGAAAAACCTGTGAACGGCACCAATAACCAACGAATTGACCATAATAAGTATTGTAAAAGGTACAGCAAACATTATTAATGTATAAGCCCATTCATAAAAAATTTTTCGATATAATGAATTCATTCTTAATGCAGTTGGTCGAAGGATTGGTAATTTTGCATTTATTGGTAGCATATAACATACATTTGCTATATATACCTACAATATGTATCACCGAATGGCGAAAGCAAAGGGAGGTAGAGTAGATCAGTAGATTATTGCTTAGTTTAGAAAATGCTGAGGTTTTATGTTGGACAGGAGTAAATCTGTCCATTAAAAATCCAGGTAGCTTTTGACCCACTCGTATTTCTATCGCTCCTAACAAAATTTATCAGATAAGTCAATTGGACGGGTCCAACTAACAGTGGTGAGCACTATTAGAAAAAAAATGAATACTATAAACTATGAATAAAATAAAAGTTTACATAGAAAGCAAAAGGTTGCTACCACAGATATTATGAAAAATTGCTTGGCAGCCAAAATTTGAAATTACGCTCCAATCAAGTAAATAAATGGTTAGCCATATCCGGTTAGATTCGCTCTATTAATAAAATCAGAAATTTTTGTCACTTGGCGATAGAAGAACAAGTGGGTTGTCAGTAGCACTAATCCAGTTTTGTAATGAGAAGTTTACTCCTCGTCAATCACAATCAGTTCAAAAATATTGGAAAAAATCTGATAAAATTAAATAAGAAAAAGAATTTTTTCCTTACTGTTCAATTGAATTTTTAATAAAAAGTATACTTTGAAATATTGAAATAAATAATTGAAAATAAATTTTATGAGAAATTAAAGCTTTCAATGTTTTAAACAAATCAAACTTCACAAACATATAATTATTTAGGTAAAATTGAATTTCACAAAATAATTTTTGGCAAGGAAAATGCAATTATTATATTTAAGACTAAAAGTAAAGAATTTTAATAAAGAGCATAGATTACATTAAATTCGTTTGTCCAAAGCAGTAACTTCAAGCATTCAATTAATCAATTTTCCAGTGCCTTTTTATGCATTGTAAAAATGAAATGGAGTAGTGAAATATGGCAAAGCCTAGTTTTAAAGAACCACTGGCCTCAATGATTTCTAATTTTTTGATAGAATTACGTGTGGTTGCTCATCAGTACTAGGGGAATTGATTTGTTAACTCCTTTTTTTCAAAGAATACTCAATATTGCTGGTTAGACTCGATCCACTGGCTTATCGGACTAGACAAATAAGCCAGGGAGTCCAATTACAATAGAAATACGGGTGAGTCGAGTCGCCAATATCCCAGCAGTATTAATTTTCATAATATATTTTTTGATTAATATATCTTTTGTTCTTTTACAGAGAATATTTTTATATAATACTTATAATAAAATAAGGCTTATGTTATATTTTATATAATACTTGCGAAATAATAACAACGGTCGGCAATTGCAGCCGGAATTGGACTCGGGTTTATGTTTTTTGTAAATAAAACCTTTTCGTCTAATATAATATACAAAAATAATATAATATATAATAATATATACAAAAATCTGATAAAATATCGATTTTTATCAATTCAATGCCTATTGAGGAAGTGGACTCTTGGATTCACTCTGAAATATTAACCAAAGGCAAAAGATAATGGTATCTAAACATGCCTTCTTACAGTTGATGGAACCTTTGTGCAGCTGTCGTGAAATCACCATCCGCGTCTCTATCGCTGCAATTCGCTCGATCATGTTGTATAACTACGGGACACGACACGGCCAAAGGCAGATATTAAGAAATTATTTGCCTTTGACCACTTATGCCTAAGAAATATTTTACGAGTCCACTAGGCGGATAAAATCTGTTAATAGTTGACAAATAAAATACCTCGAAAAAACGCGTGGTATTGAAAAATATAGAAGCTATAATAACACTTGCAATTGAGATCTTAACATTTCGTGATGTGAGTATAAGACCTGCTTTAAACGGTACACAAACTCCAATAAATCGATGTATCGACATGACAGTTGTCATCCAAACGCTTATTGTTTGTGCCAATGTCATTAACGCATACATGTAAGGTGCTGAATAATAACTAAAAAATGATCAAATTTAAATTAATTTATTTCTCAAAAAGAAAAATTAAAAATAATTCCAAAGAATGTTCAATTTTATAAAAATTATAGATAAAAATAAAGATAAAAATATGAATAAAATATCTTAAAGCATGAAAAAATTTTAAGAATTGTGTAGAACTTTGATTTTACATTATATTTGTTATTTGTTATTTACTGGATTATTATGAATAATTAATTAATTAAAATTCGTTTATAATGGACACAATTTTACGTTCTTTTTACGCCGATTATGGACTCCAAAGAATAAAATAAAAAAGTTTAAAATCTTCCTTAAATTTTCACTTTTTTTTAAGAAATAGTCAAAAATAATTTATGACAAACAATAATAAGTTTGAAAAATCTTAATGAATTTTTTAAAATTTGCTTTGTTAAAATTCACCTTATTGCAGTCGCTTTCCAAAATGATAAAGTTTCACCAAGACGTGGCAATGTTAAAACAAAGAAAGCACCAACAAGGATTATCGAATCCGATAGTGCCATCATAAGTAAATACCAATTGATAAGTTGAGCTCGCATTAATGGATGCGAGAAAATTTGAATTGACATCGTGTTCGCTAAAAGTCCGGCCAAAATAAACGGTAGAGCAAAGATACCTGCATAATTTTTTCTCATTAATTTACAAAATTTTACAAAATTTCAAATATAAATTTCAAATTTCAAATATATTTCAAATAGGTTTTTTTCATAATTCATCAAAATATAATATATATATTACAAAATATATATTTTTTTGTCAAAATTTTGTTAAAATTTTTGCGCAAATAGAACTTTCATATTTTTTTATTTTTTTTAATTCTTGCGGTGGACGATGAAGAGCGTGCCTTAACCAGGGAAGGCGGCGCTCTATCATGGTACTATTAATGTAAGTGGTGTTTGAAGATGGGTGTGATCATGTGACATTTTATCCACTTGAAGGGTCCGTGAAATGTCTTAGATACGAGCTGTCAAAGGCAGATATCTTCTTCCACTTTCCTTGGCCATATAGCAAAATCGAATATTGACGCATATTTTTGTTTTTGTGGTGATTTCGCGGCGGCTGCATAAAGGTTTCGTCAAGCAAAAGAACGTTTTTCTATCCATATTTGTGTTCCATATTTTGCCCGGCCATTTGGGATTTAGATCTAAGATATTTAAAATCGAGCACTTTCAGCAATGAATTGATAAAAACAGGCACCTTTTTTTATATATAAGATAACAAGATTTTCATTTTATTTACATTAACCATGAGTCCGATTCTCGCTACAGTTGTCGACATTATTTAGCATTATTTGCATTGCATCATAGTTATCAACGAAAAGACCACACTATCAGCTTATTCAAGGTCTGTGATGCGATGATCTGGATTGATTTAGATATCTCTTGAATGCCGACAAGCGATGGCCACCATTATCCAGTTTAGCGCATGGTTCAATAATGTAGGGAAAATGACGCAACCCTGGCACATTTCCACATTTTTCCACATTTTTTTGTTCCACATTTTTATTTCGCAAAGTTCTGTCAGTTCCCCATATGCACAGACAATGTACGCTGGTAAAATGCCTTTATGAGTGGAATAGTCTTCTCTTGAACATTACCCTCTAAAGCACTGTTCTATCAACTGAATCGCAGCTGCGAAATAAACAACGGTAGGTTGCCGATATTTGAAATGTTCCAACCTTTCTTAAGGTGAATTTCGATCAGCATATTCAGCATATCCGCGACCAGGTCTGAAAGCAGTTTCGAGCGCATTTTTTTGCCTCGTACTGCCATAAGTTTTTTGGCGAAATAAAAAATTTTCGGTAAACGTCTAATAGGCTAATTCCTCAATGATTGTTACAATATGTCCTGTTAATTTTCTTGGAAATTGAGAGCAGAATTGTTGCTATTTGCTCCAGTCGTCTAGTATTTTTTTCTTCCATACCAGAGAATACATTTGCAGATTTGCAGATGAGTTATGGGCAACATTTGAAGAGTTTAACCGCGAGTTTTAATGAACTCATGGTTCAAGATAATAGATTATTTGCTGCTCTGTTGGTGGATCATAGTTGCAGATCTATGACTGGACGAGTGATTCGGGCAATGTCCAGGATTATAGATGGTGCATCGTGGTTAACTTTGGTCAAGAAATCTCTTCCATCTTGAGAGACGATGGCCTTGACAAGCATCATTATTATCCAGTATCGTTTTACTAAGCACTTCCTGAATTATGGTTGCTTTGTGAAGAAAGCGGAAGTTATCTATGATCGCCTAATCTAGTCGCCATCTCCATTTTCAAGACCAATAATAATTTATTGTAAAAATATCGGTAAACTGAAGTAAATGGAAAGAATTCGTAAAAACTTTGAAAAAACGGAAGATACGACAGTAATTTTAAGAACTTAAAAAAAAATTTTTTAAGAACAATATTTAAAAAATATTTTATGAAATTTCCATCTCTTTGGTTTTGGTTGTTTCTTTTTTGGCATTTTGCCTTGCTTAACTCTATTTTAAATACTCAATGAGGCAAAACTGTTTGTTTCCTTTATATTATGTAACATAAAATCCTCAGTGAAGTTTTAGCGACTGAGAAGGAACTAAAAAGACCACTTTTTAATAGGGAAAATTTTAGTGAATTTATAAATTTGCAGGGAATCATGAGCTTTCATGAAGCTCGCATTTGGATAACCTTCGATTTCCCTTTCTTCTATTGTAATTTTCCTACAGAGCTTAGGATTTGCTGAGATTCAAGCATTTTCAATCCACAAATTCTTAAAATTGTTTCCTTATCTCACAATATATCCATATGAACAATAATTTTTTATTATCTCATAAATTTCTCCTAATCAACGTGTTTATGTGACATAAAATAATATTATTTAATATTATTTGTAATCATACGTAGTTCACTCAATTGATTTTTTTTTTACAAGTTCTTTTAATTGATATTTTTAGGAAAAGCAGAGAGGTGTGGAAGTAGAGATTTTAATCCTTGGATCAATAATTTTTTTGATGAATATTAAGTTAAAGAAAGATTTCCTTGGATTGTGCAAAAGGAGATTTTTTAGCACAAATAGCTCAATTATATATTTGGCATTAAAATTATTTGAAATATTTCTATATATAATTTTCTTAATATGTAGCAATTTAAAAAATTCAGAATAAAATAAACTTTCAACTGTAAAGAAACCTCAATCGTTTAGATTTATAGTAAAAAGTGGACAGATAAACCTATGATCGGTAGCCATGAAATAAATAATATCGTATTTTCACAAAAGTATCAAGATAACCACACAATATTATATAATCACCGTTTTCTACAATTTTTCCCCATCGAGAAACTAGCCTCAGCACTCAGCACGATGAGGTGGATGAGGTAGAATTTACCAGCCAAATCCCATGGTTTTCTGGCATATATTTTTCGAAGCCTTTGCTTTCTCATAATAATGTTGCAGGATTTCACCTCTTTTTAAAGTTATTGCGGGTTATTTCGATGAAATTCGAAACGAGTGGCTAGGACTAAGTTTCATTAGCTTATAATAAATTATCCACTTTTTCGGTTTTTAAGCTTAGGATCATCGTACAACACTCACTTTTCATCATAAGTGATAATTTGATCGAAAGACGGTCCTTTTTCATGTCTAAGAAAGAAGAATGTGTAAATTGATTGATGATAGTTGGCGAAGACTCTTCGTTCTTCGTTCATCGGTGTGTTTATATAAGATCCAAACACTGGTTTCATTTGATTTTACTGTGGTATGCAGATGATTGTTGTCCCACTTTGTTTTGAACCAGCTTTGGCTATAGAATGCAGAAAGTCTTCATCATCAACTTCTGAAGATCTACTGAATCTTTGGCTGTCCTACAAGTTGGAATCGCAACTTTTAAATTTCAAAAATCATCTTTTTATTCACATCTTTTCTGTACTTTCTTGCTGTCGTTGTATTATTTCCTGTAGAAAATTCATAAAGTATGATCGCAAATGTATTTCAGATGGTAACTAATTCACGCCACTCTGAAACGGCACTGGTCTTATCTTAAATAACTTTTTACCACGAAAACAATTCTTAATTAAAAATTCAAAAATTCATTTCAAAAAAAAAGATGGCCTATTATAATTAGGGATCAATTTCCTTTTTTTAAAATATTTAAGAAGGACATCGTACAATGCTTAAACAACCACATGATATATAAAAATCCAAATAAATTGTGACAAATCAAAAAGTTGAGAATTTTAAAATCAGAGGCGACAAGTGCCATGTATTTGCGTCAATATAACAACAAATAGATGTTAAAAGAAAAAAAAATAGTAATATCGATGTAAAATACAATAAGAAATGCGAAAAATCAAGGTCAAACCATAACATGAATTCTTAAATAATAATTTACGGATGGTATTATACAATCTTTCATCTTTTCTTAGAAATGGCTAATATACACACAATGTCGCTCTATAGCAAATTTCAGTAAATAACGGTGCCAGAAAAAGTGGGTTCTTTAGTTTTATATAAAGGAATTTTAATCATTTTGTTATTTAACCCATCTTGTTATTTAACCTAAAATTATAATATTTTGACCAATCTAATTTAGCATAACCATATAACCATATAGAATTTTAAATATATATATATAAATTAAATCTTGTTTAATTCGAATTTAATTCGAACGAATTTAGAAAGAGCCTAGGTTGTATAATTGTTATATTTTATAATTGATCGTCGTTAGGAGAAAAACGGCGTATGTATAAGCATTTCTAGAGTTGTTCAATTGATTTTTTTGGTTTAGGGTCTCCATCAGGAGAATAACAGTTTTTATCATATTTCTTTATTATGGCTTTGAGAATTCAAAATCAAGATTTTATTCACAACTATGCCGAGATCTGAGATTTTGATTATGTTATCATTAAAAAAAAAATTAAGAAGAGCGAATCCTTTTGAATAAAATACGCTAAACTTATAAATGGAAAGAGCCTGTCGTATAACCAGTTGTCATTTCTATTAAGACCATCTTATAACAACAGTTTAGGATAGTTTGCCTGATCTACCATGAGAATAATAAATTTTACAGCCTTCAGCATAGAGATAAGTAGTAGAATTTAATACAACTTTGTTGATATCATTAATATATTTTTAAGAAGATACAATACAATTACTTTATGGATGCCTAATTTAAATGGATCCATGTTCGAAATTCATCAGGCGAAGATCCAGCAGATAAAAACAATGACATAGCCACAATTTTCTCATTAAGTCTTAACTGACAAAACATTGCTTTCTATGCAACTTTTTTGAACAGTTTTCTTTAGCAGTTTATTCATCGGTCTATTTTTATACAATTTTATTCACTTTTATTCATCTAAGTTATTAACAAATTTTAATTTGTATTTAATTTATTTAATCCATTAATTTAAAAAATTTTTAAAAATTATCGAAATTTTTTATTTCCAATTTTTTCCCTTCATTTTCAAGCAGAAAATTTTTGCCATCACACCATCTAATCACATAATTCGTATTTTCGAGCCACTGAAAAATCCTACAATTAATATTCGATCGACGCACTGAAGCTAATAAATACTGAAATTAAATGTAGTT